TACAGTGGATATCAGGAGATACCGTGATGCAGGAAAGACTGTGACTTTTATTGACATTTGTCTGTAATTTATACTACACATTGTTTTTGGTGTTTAAAAATACGTACAATAATTAGACCAAGAAGAATTAAAATTAAAGGATGCCAGCTAAATTAAATTGTAGCTAGTCGGCTATAGGTGGCAGAAAAGTCAGCAATCAGCTAATACCCAGTGACATTAATAAAGCAAATTACACCATACGTATAGTATGTAGTATGACGTGCACCAGTAATTTTGCACACCACTTTGTTTTACTTAACCATGTTGTTTTTGTTTTGTATTTATGGTGGCCGCAAGCAGACTGCCCCGTGGTTGTGGTACAGGACGAATGCGCATGTGTAATTGTAGGTCTAATAATTAAGTAAATAGTATGAATTTACACATTACCGTGGGGTTGGTGAAGATTTGTTTACTCTCGGTGTGTACAGTGTGCAGCAAGTGCCAGAGAAACAATGCTGCTTGTATTATATACTGTATAATATTACATCTACTTCTTAAAACTATTGCCCACTATCAGAGGATCTTGTGTGAATCGACATGTAATACAATGCCGTAACACTTCCCTTGCACCTGTACGGCAGCTTTCTAAAAATACGTGTGCAATACATGTAGTTACATCACCTCTTGTTTCACTTGAGAGAGCCAGTTCTTCTGATGACGAGCTCCTTCTTGTTACCAAACGAGTCAGTTCTCTTCACAGGAGTCTCCTTCCCTGGTTCCCTCACTGACGACTTCTTCCTGGATATCACAGGACAAGAGTATATACTGGCTGTATGTAGGTCCAATTAGAGTATGGAAACTGTATAGGTAACATGTAGGATGTCAGTTAGGGCACTCCAAACTTTTGTGGAAAGGGAGATTTCGATCTTACACACTAACGAAAGATTCAAGTGTGTTGATAAAGCAGTTTTCCATTCAATTATGTATGCGAATGCGTAAATCTATGCATAACAATGTAGTGGGCTCATATACAAGATGGCACAGAAATGTGGAATGTACCCACTTGAGAGAGAGGGAGCGTTTGAGTGACCCTTGTCTCTTGAGTGTCCGTTGTCCTTCTCCATCTCCCTCCTGGTAGAGGTCTGCCTTTCTGAAGTGGTAGGGCAGTGCCAGGGTGGCCTCGTGCAGTGGCAGAGAATCTGCACAGAAAACAAGGAGAGACGGATGGATGATGGAAGGGAGGGAGGGATGGAGGGATGGAGGGATAGAGGGATAGAGGGAGGGAGGGGGAGAGAGAGATTTACTTGTTGCATTACATCAAAAAATTTTCGCCACATTGTTCATGTGTGTGATGAGATTAAAGAAAATGCAAACAAGATTCATCATTTCAGCACCTTATAACATGCATATATACCAACCCGTGTGCACGTAAAAACTTCCAGTCAGAGTATTGTTTGACAAAGATGACATCCAGTTCCGTACTGATCCACGAATCACATCTGAATATGGACATGATTGAGGTCAAGCGTCTCTGAAGCCTGTCCATGATGTGTTGTCTTCTATGAGGGAACACTTCCATAACATCTCTATGAGAATGATCATCTCTGGGATGGTGCTGGATGTGTGAGTACAGCACCTGCTGTGACTGGAACTCTCCACGTGGTTCAGGAAAAAGATCTCTCCTCCAACCAGTGATGACATTGAGATGAGCCTGTATACTGACCCAAAATGAAAATGACGAAAGTGTAACTTTGAAATACTAGAACTGTATGTCAGTGGATTTAGTTTGACAATTACATAACTTGTCAATGACCAAGCACAAGTCTGTGCAAGTGCATTTTCAACACATTGTGGGGAACTTTGGTACAGTATTATGCTGGGGTTGTTGGGCATAATCCTTTACATGCGACTTTCAGCCATACATGAGCAGGTGTCGAAACATTGTAGACCTTTTTTGTTTTTCAAGTTATATAGCACTGCTGAATGGGATCGTGGGTGTACATGTATGTCTCTTCAGCAGCTAGCAAAAGACGGCGTTGTTCACAGGTCACCACCTCACGATCATCCAGAATAATTTTATTCCTCCTCCCCCTTGTTTGTGTCGCAGTATTTCTTACTGTGAAGTTGCCAATTCTGCCAAAAGTACAATGCCAAAGATACAGTGGTCACAAAGTGTACAGTATGACAGAGACAACTAGATTAGTGTTTTAAAACTTGTTGCTGAAAACTTTGTAACAAACATAGTTTATTAACTGCACATACAAACCTACTCACAGCCCTGTTTTACCACATGAATGGTCATCTGTACAAGTCATCATGTTTCGTGATAGGGCTTTCCCCAATTTAGCTTGGGAACACTCACTTCTTTCCACCCTGTCCTCTATTCAACTTAAGTGTAGCTACCACAGGTCATATGAACTGGAGGGTTAACTACCTACCTACTACCAGTATTCACAACTTTTCGCAATATGAAAATAATTATAATTATTTGCAAGAGTACAACTTCCAGCATTTACAGAGGTAAAGGTATGCTATCACACGATGGAAATAAAACTAACTATAATGCTTATAGTTATTGTAAACAGAACTTCTCTGTGGTCTTCTAGAATATTCCACGGACCTGCACACTTCTTCTGGACTATTCTATGCACGTGGTGACTTCTAGAACATTCTTAGATAGGTATAAAAGGCTTGAGTTTTTGTACCGTAGTTCAGTTCAGATGTTCCGAATAATATTATTCTGAGAAGTGTAGCTATCTGCGCAAGCCCCTCAGCTAGTTTCAACAGGTTATGGGCCCAGATCTCGCAAGTCTGAACTCAAAGTAAAACCTCGAACAGCAGTCCGTTGGCCACATAGCTCAAGCGAGCAATGGCATCTGAATCCAAGACCGTCAGTGTTGTTTCCGTTAAATGGATCTAATTATCCAACATGGAAAGTCCAATGCAGGATGGCGTTGATGAAGGATCTTTGGAACATTGTAAACGGTACTGAGGTTGTACCGGCTGGAGACGGTGAAAGACGAGCTAAGTTTCTTGCCCTTAGGGATATTCCCTTAGCTACCATTGTTCTTTCTGTCCTTATCGGAGACCCGGAGGATCCCATCGTAGTCTTGAAAAAGCTTGCCGACCAATTCCAGAAAAAGACCTGGGTGAACAAGTTGCAGCTACGACGAAAACTGCATTCACTGAGACTAAGACAGGGCGATTGTGTTCAAGTACACGTAAAGGCCATGACGGAAGTGTTTGACGCTCTCTCGGTTGTCGGCGATCCAATAAAAGAGGAAGACAGAGTGGTTTTTCTGCTAGCGAGCCTGCCGGAATCGTACGATATGCTGGTGACGGCGCTAGAGGCAAACGCTGAGGTACCTCAAATGGAAGTTGTCACTGAGCGACTACTACATTGAAGAAAGGAAGTTGAAAGATCGCAGCACGGCCGATGATACAAGTGGAAGCGGTGAGAAAGGAATGATGGGCAAGCATAGAACCCAAAAGCGAAGAGGACCAAAATGATAACACTGTTGTAAAGTTGGGCAGCGAAACTGCAGTGAGCTACATTCGTCAGAAAGGAAAAGCCACAAGTCGACAAAGGCGAATGAGGCACAGAGATGCAAGCAGCTCTGACTCTGAGGATACTGGGTTAATGGCATCTCATGCGTTATCTGTGAGTCAGAAGGAGGGATGGATTGTAGACTCAGGAGCCACCAGCCACATGTGCAATGATCGCAGCTCATTTACTGAGTTACATACCCTGGAGAAGCCACTTGATGTCATGTTAGGAGATGGCCATTCCCTGAAAGCAACTGGCAAGGGAACCGTGATACTGACATGAGGCTGCCAAACGGAAAAACAGAAATGCAAACACAACGATGTGTTGTATGTTCCCTCTCTTTCGTGCAATCTATTGAGTGTGTCAAAGGCCACACAATATTCAAAGGTGACAAAGTTTGGCAAAGTTGCCTGTCATATACTTGATTCGAATCGCAAGCTGATGGCTCGAGTCACAAAGATAGGTAGCCTTTACCACCTTGATATTGAAACCACTCCTGAAATGGCCAGTGTAGCTGACAAACAAGAGAAAGAGGCTATTTGGCATCGTCGGTTTGGACATCTAGGCACTAACGTTTGCAGAAGCTTTCCAGAGAACAGTTGGTAAATAACTTCGACTATCAGTGCTTAAAAGAAAGTCAGTTTTTGTGAGTCTTGCATGCAGGGCAAGCACCATAAAAGCACATTTCCAGAACAAGAGCTCGGGAGCCTCTTGACCTCGTTCACAGCGATGTTTGTGGAAAACTGAATCGAAAATCGCTGAGTGGAGCCGAGCATTTTTTGACATTCATTGATGACAAGACAAGATATGTCTGGGTCTATATTCTCAAGAGGAAAACAGAAGTATTCACACGATTCTTGGAGTGGAAATCAATGGTGGAAAGACAGACAGGGCGCAAACTGAAAACTTTGCGCTCAGACAACGGAGGAGAATACACGTCTAGAGAATTTGAATCTTACCTGAAAACGGAAGGAATACGCCATGAGCTCACTGTGCCAAAAAATCCTCAGCAAAATGGTGTGGCAGAACGCATGAATAGAACGTTGGAATCTGTGCGTTCAATGTTAGCTGATGCCAAGTTGCCTCACAAATTCTGGGCAGAGGCACTATCTACTGCTGCTTATCTGCGGAATCGAAGTCCAACCATAGCTGTGGAGGACTTGACCCTTTTTGAAGCATGGACCGGAGTCAAGCCAGATGTCAAACACTTCGGTTGCACAGCATATGCTTATATTCCAAAGAACGAGCGACAAAAGCTAGACACAAAAGCAAAGAAAAGTATCCTCATGGGATATGGTACAGAGACAAAAGGATATCGCTTATATGACTCTAAGCATGGAAAGATATTTTACCGTCGAGATGTATGGTTTAATGAACTGGAGTGTGGTGTTGAGAAGGAGTCAAGTGAGCCAGACAAGAGAAGATACGTTGAACTTGAACTTGAACTTCCAAGTGACGATGAAACACTATCAGACACACCAGTGCAACCAGCACCACGCAGATCTGAGCGAGAAAGAAGGCCACCCGTGTACTATGGAGAGTGGGCTAATGTCTCAAACTACCAAGAACCACAGACCTTTCGTCAAGCTCTGGAGAGTCCAGACAAACTACACTGGATGGATGCAATGAAAAATGAAATAGAGTCTATCCATGATAATGATGTCTGGGATCTGGTAGAGCTACCAAAGGACAGAAAGGCAGTCGGGAGTAAATGGGTGTTTAAAGTAAAGACTACAGCAGATGGATCCATTGAAAGGTATAAAGCACGCCTGGTGGCACAAGGATGTTCGCAAAAGTATGGTGTAGACTATGATGAGACCTTCAGCCCAGTGGTCAGACCTGAATCCATCAGAACGCTGATAGCACTGAGTGTACAGGATGGACTAAAGCTTCATCAAATGGATGTCGCTACTGCATTTCTGAATGGTGATTTAGACGGAGAAATCTACATGAAACAAACAGAAGGCTTTGCATCAGAAGGTCAGGCGCATCTTGTGTGCAAACTGAAGAAGAGCATCTATGGATTAAAGCAAGCACCAAGATGCTGGAACACAGTTCTGGATGTACAACTCAAGAAAATGGGCTTTAGTCAAAGCACCAGTGATCCTTGTATATACAAATCCGCAAATGAAGAACCATTTTTGATTGCTGTGTACGTCGATGACATTATCTTAGCCGGAAGAACAGACAAAAGAATAGGAGAAGTGAAAGAAGCACTAAAAGAGGCTTTCAAAGTCAAAGATATGGGGGCTCTTCACTACTTCTTGGGTGTTGCAATAAAACAAGATCATGAGGGGGGCAAAATCTAGATTGGACAGAGCAACTATTCAACCAATCTACTTGAAAAATATGGAATGGAAGATGCCAAGCCAGTTAACACTCCAGTTGATGTTAACAACAAACTACTGGCAGCCTCCGAAGAGAGTGAGTTGGTCGATCAGAGACTTTATCAATCTGCAGTTGGAAGTCTCCTTTATTTGTCATGCTGGACGAGACCGGATGTAACGTTTGCTGTCAGCAATGTAGCTCGATTTTGCTCAAAGCCTACAAAACAACATTGGACAGCAGTAAAGCGCATAATGAGATATCTAAAGGGAACTCAAAATCACGGTCTACTATACCACAGAGATGGTGAGAAAAC